TGTCTATTTGTTTTCCTGAGAAACTATCTTGTAGATAACAATATGTAAAACAATAACCATTGATAATTTCCTACCACTTTGTCTGTAATTTGGTAAGCCCCCCCCTATTATTATGTTATCCTTCTTTTACTCTTTAAAATAAAAAATAAATAAATAAATAAAAGTCTTATTTTAACAACTGAAGCTGGATATGGTGGCACATGCCTGTAATCCGAGTAGTCAGGAGACTGAGGAAGGAGGACCACTGTGAGTCTGAGGCCAACCTGAACTACAAAGACCCTACCTCAAAAAACAAGATCTGAAGTTGGGTGATAAGCATACGGGTTCAGTATTCTATTGCTCTACCTGTCTGAATAGTTATATAGTGAAATTATTAAAACAACAACAAAAAATCCTGTCCTGAAACATTTGTTTTCTCAAACTCTAGGACATGTGCCAAGTAGCTACACAGTGTTGGGAACCCACATATATACTTACAGCTAAATCCTTTCCTTAGCCAAGAGCGCAGACACTCTTGGGACTATGAAGGGCTGTCTCCTTTAATACAGGTGAGGTCCGTGATCCAAAGATTATAGGGGATGATTGCCCTCAGCACTTTCAGCAGAGCTCCCATTTCCTTCCCTGGAACAGGTTTCTGTCATCGATTATGCCAGGACAAAGTCATCTCCCTTTTTTCTGTGTTATGCATACTTTGACCCACATAAACTCATTAAATTCTCAACCAAGCCTCGAAGGGGACACTCTCAAGACTCACAGTAGGAAACAAATGGCAAAGCTAAGCATGAACTGAAGCGTTCTGACTCCTGGGCCTGGACATGAGGGCCCCACACAATGACTCACAGCAGACTCACAGATCAGAGTTAATGCACTTACACTTGCCCTGTTTCTTGTTCTCCTCCATCTCAATTCTGCGTTCTCGGCGGCGTTCCTCCCGAGCCTTCTTCTGGCGCTGACGCTTCCTCTTCTCAATGTCATCTGTGGGTTGGTCAAGTTATGAGAAGGCAGACCCCAGACCACCTGGTCAGTAACTCCTCCCAGCTGACTAGGAGCTAAGCCCACACTCGTGGGCTCACCTGGACTAGATGAATGGAGAGTTTCGGGAGGTACTGACTCACAATACATACTACTTCTTCCATCTCTTCTTACACTAGGTTTCCCCAAGAATCCTTGAATCCCACTGTAAAGACAAGTAAAACGAGCTTTCTCACCTGAGAACATCTCTAGGGTTTCCTTAGAGACCACAGGAGGCTGCAGAGCCAGTTCGCAGAGGCTGAACTCACAGGTGAGTGGCAAGTGAGAAAGATATCTATGACGCTGTCGAACATCCTACATTGGAAAAGGGACCATATGCAACTAAGGCCCGGCCTAACTCTTTAGTACAGGGTCCCAACCCGTATTTCCACCAGTGTACATACATTCAGACTGGGACTTAAAATCCATAACTAAGGGGAGAGAACAGGGAAGATAAAACAGTGTGAGGATGGAAGAGAATGAAACAGGAAGAGAAGCACTGACAGCTACTAAAAATCTCGTTTCCCTACTGAAAGAAGTTTGGTCTGAACAGTAAAAACTGAAGAGATCATTAATTTTCTTTTCTTTACTTTTTCTGATTATGTTTGATGGGTGTTTCTAATTATGTTCACAGTGCTCAGAGTCTCTAATTTCGAGGCTTATAACCAATTTGTGAATGTAGGAATAATTCCCAAAGGCCAAAGTTCTCATGTGTAAATTATCAGACCATAACTCTGGTACCTGCTCTGCTAAAAATGTACTTCAAACCTGTGTAACCTAGCTTAAAGCTTCAATGAACTTCAGATATTTGGAAAGGTCTCCCAAAGAATAAGGAAAAAGAAAACAAGAACAAGCTTTACCATGATTGAAAAGAGAGGATACCTATCTCCCCAAACTACAACAAATAAACCGAGATGCAGGGCATAGTAGAAACTGACTTACAAGAACTTTGGCACAATAAAAGAAAATCATATAACTCTTTTAAAAATTCACAGCATCATCACCAACAAAAACAGACTTAAAAATACAGTGGGTACCAGACATGGTGATACACTGTATAATCCCAGCACTCTGGGAGGCCGAGGCAGGATTACAGGTTCAAGCCCAGCCAGCCTGGGCAATTTAGCTAGACTCTTTCTCAAAATAAAAATTAAAAAAAAAAAAAATCAATGAATAAAGGGCTGGTGATATAGCGCAGTGCAAAGGCCCAGAGTTCAATTCCCAATACCACAGAAATAATAAATCTTTAAAAAATAGGGCTGGAGGGGTAGCTCAGAAGTGCAGTACTTGCCTAGCACGTTAGCATGTGCAATGCTCTGAGTCTGAGCCCTTGTGTCACATACATAAATAAATAAATGCCTAAACCCTTATGGATTTAGGCTGGCTAGACCTACCCTGTAGAGATTAGTTTAATGCTGCTCCCTCATCCTCCTGTTCTAAAGGCAGGCCCTTACCTCAGACATGGAGTACCCGGCAATCTCTACCACAGTCGCTGAGATCTTCTCCGGACTCCGCTCCAGGCTACCATACTCTCGCACAAGGCAGCGCACGTTGATGGGGTGCAGGAACATGTGCTGCCCATCCTCCGCTGAAGACAAGGGCTCTATCACATAACAATCTTGGGCAGCCCTCAGCATGGGCCCTCTCATGGCTAGGCCTGCCTCTCCCTGCCCATGCTGAAAGGCACTGTGACCCTCCCCACCAGATCCAGCAGTGTGGGAACCCAGCCCTCCTCCTCAGGAGCCCTCACCTTGGTAAAAGTAGTAACAAGGCGAGCTGCTCAGGTGTGTGAAGCCAGGCTTAGTGACAGGTTCCTGCTGGCTGGACTCATTACAAACGGTCCCCTCCCCAAGATTGTCTTCTGCTAACTCCAAGTCATCACAGGTCTCTGACAAACCCTCAGGCTCTGGTTCAGACACTGCTTCCTCTTCCTCTACCAGAGGGAGAGCAGAGCCCAAAGAACAAACTTCTGTGGTTTCTTCCTCAAAGGCAGACAGATATTCCAGCACACCCTGGTGGAACAAACTCAAAATCAAAAGAAAGTATGCATCCTGTTTCCCAAAAATGATGTGGCGAAGGTAGGCATAAAAAGCTCCCTTGATGTATATCTGAGTTATCACATACATGGATTTAACACCTTGGAAGGTGTACAGAATATAGTCATAACCCTCTGTTCTCCCAAGAGAATTCAGATCTCACAAAGGTGCCTACTAGCTCAGTGGCAATATTTGAGGAATAGTAGCCAGCTGATCTGTAACAGGGGCACACTGACCTTCCTGGGTTGAAAAACAGACTCTTTCGCCAAGGGAGCCATCAGCACCAGCTGTTCCAGAGCAGCAACGACACCAGGGACCTCCCCTCTGCTTTCAGCCAATCCTGACAGAGCCTCTTCCCGAGTCTAAAGCCACCAGAGAGGACACCAAAGCAAGTTTAATGCCAAAGGGCTGGGGATATAGCTCAGTGGCATAAGCATCTGCCTGGCAAGCACAAGGTCCTGAGTTCAATCCCCGGTACCCCAAAACAAAACAAAAAAAAAGGTTGATGCCAAAAAAGACTGACAAGAATAAGACAAGACCCGACAGGAAAGGCTTATTAGTTAGATTCTTAAAATCCTTGTTCTTTGGGCTGAGAATGGCAGACTGGTTGCCTGAAGTGCTTGATTGGTCACCAGTAAAGCAAAAAAGAGAGAAAAAAAAAAACAACAATCCCAACTCTGAAGAAAACCAGCATCAAAAAATATCTGGTACTCACAAAGGATGATTCTTTGCTTAGAATCTCTGACCTTAATATACACAAAAAACTTTTTAAACAAATATCCAAGAACATAAAAGTAGCCTTCCAGCCAGACATGGTAGCTCACACCTATAATCCCAGCACCTGGAAGGCTGAGGCAGGAAGATTGCTATGAACTTGAGGCCAGTCTGGACTACATAAGCAGGTTCAAGGCCAGCCTGCACTACTAAGACCCTGCCTCAAACAAAACAAAACAAAAACAAAAACAAAGGTAGCCTTCCAGTTGTTACAAATGATACTCAGAAACAAGCCCAGAATAGGTGAAAAACCTTTGGCTACCCCCACTTAAACTCGGACAACCTGTTTTGTTTTCTTGAGAAAGGACTTTGCTAAGTTACTAAACTGATAAACTGACCAAGTGGAGCTAGAACTTGCAAACTTCCAGTTGGCCCCCTAGACAGCTGGAATTACAGACATGCATCATCACATGAGGACAGAAAAAGGAATTCAAATGCTAGCCTCACCCAATCTAGTTACATGCCCTTGAACAAGTAAGCTACCCTATGGTTCCATTTCCTCAAACATAAAAGTGGATAGTTGCTTCTACTACTGCAGGAAATGCAGTGGTTACAGATGTGCTTTCAGCACTAGGCCTATTACATACAACCTACTCCACAAGTGAGGGCTTTTACTGTCCTGATCTGTGTCAGTGGTTCTCAAAGTGTGTTCTGGGGATGAGCACTGCTCTGAACTTGTTCCAATGCACATTAGTAAGCCTGTGAGGAAAATAATCATAATTTAAGGAAGCTGTTGTGGAGGACCGAGAACCTAGAGAATCTTTACTCAGCTTACTTCTTACTATTCCAAGATCTCAGCAGGTATTGCTAAGGCCTGCTAGGTTGACCATTGTACTTTCTCCACAATGCCTCTCCAAAATACCTTTAAAAAATAAATCCAGTATTTTTTCAGGCACAGAAAGAAATCTACCTAGCCTAGCATGGTGGTACATACCTGTAAACCCAGCACTTAGGAGACTGAGGTAAGAGGATTACTGTGAGTTCAAAACCAGCCTGGGCTACATAGTGAACTCAAGGCCAACCTGAACTACACAGTGAGATCTTGTCTCAAAAAATAAAAACAAAACACCTACCTTGCTTAATTAAAAATGTACCTATGTTAAGAAACTCCACTGTCACAATTACTCAAAATCATTCTGATCTTTTCCTTTTGGCTCTAGAAAGAGCCTGATAAACCTTCCTTTAGGAAGGCAGCCCTTCCATCACCACACAAACCCATGAGGAGATTGTTTTTTTCCAGCCATTCCAAGCTTATAAGCTTCAATGAAGGCTTGAAGTAACTGCCCTCTGCATTCCCTTGTCCTCCAACACAGAGTGGGAAAATTCGGCACCTCGGCGTTTTAGCTCCTAACACATCCTCTCTTACCTTGAGCTCCTGGATAGCTGCCTCAATAAAGCAGGACTCAGGAGTGTGCTTCTCCTCCGCTAGTTGCCGCTCCAGGGCTGCTTTCTCTTCCAAAACAACGCGATGCAGCACCTGCTCCTTAGAGGCCAGCAGCAACTTGGAGTACTGGCTGTGCTGTTCATCTACAAGAAAGCCAGCAGATGAAAAACAAAACCTACCGATTTTTTTAAGACAATAAACTGCAAACTCACGACCTTGCGTTTGCCAGGAAGGCATTGTGCTGCTGAGCTAAATCCCCAGCCCCTCAAATTTTCTTTTAAAGATTTGGATTTTTTTTTACATTTAGTTCTTCAAGCTACCTTGAAATTTTTTTTTGCAGCGGGGGCAGTTACTAGGAATTAAACTCAGGACCTCATGCTTGCCACACATGTGCTGTGCTGCTGAGCTATATCCTCAACCCCCTTGAAATAATGTTTATGAATGGAGTAAGATATTGTTTCCACTAAGAATCATCAATTCTTTCAATATCATTTGAGAACTTTCTTTCCTTCAAAGACTAAATGTCACTTTGATCAAATGCTCAATTCCACATGGAAAATGAGAATATAATAGCTCATACTTTCCCCACTGTAAGTACTTATTAACTCTTCATATCCTTATGGCCTATCATCTGTTTCTTCTATTAGACTGCTGTGTCCTTTGATGACAGCAAAGCTGGCTGACTCAAACCCCCAAGACTGAGCATGATGCCAGATAATTTTCAATAAACCCTGGTAAAATGACATAAAATAACATAGATATGTATAATTGAACCGAACCTGAAACCAAGAGTTAAACTACTCTGCAAACGCCATTCTAACCTACTGGAATCCTAACTAACTTAGTCACACTAGAACTGGCTTGTCCAAAGGCTTAACTTGACACAACAGAGGAATACTCAATAGACTAACAGCTGTACTCAGGATTATTTGCCCCAAAATTTAACTGAACTTACCTCCCAGATGAATAGGATGGTCTACATTCATCCATTTAGATTTGGGCAATGCCACCAACACTCCTTTCTCCCTCTTCATCAGCTGCATCGTAATGGTATCACCAACGACGTACTGGCGCGACTCTGTGGCAACAACACTGAAACATGGACATTGAGATGAAGCAGATCAAGGAGTTCACAGACGGGGGTCTAACCTAGTAGCTGTCTCTGTCTCACCTCTTGAGATCCTTCTTATGCACAGAACTGTAACAGATGGGACATTTACTCCAGGTCTTCTCACTCAGTGAAAGATAATGCAGGATGCATGCCCAGCAGAAGATGTGTCCACAGCGGGTGATCTTGGCTGCAGTAGGTGGATAGAGGCATATTGGGCAAGATGGTACTTCATGGCTACATATACGCTGAAACAAAATAGCACAGTTTTACAGCTTTCACAATCAACAAGAGATGGTCAAAGTTAAAAGCCTCTCTTCTCTCATTCCCACACACCTGTATTCAACATACCTTCATAAAACTATTTAACAATGCAGGTATATAAATGACAGCACTTTTAAGCTAATCATTAAGGAAACTATAATAATGGCTTAAGAAAGAAATTTGTTAACAGGTGTTTGTGGGTCCTATATTAAAGGAAAAAAATGACAAGAAATCCTATAAACCCACTTGTAAAAAATATTTATTATGTACACATAAAGGCATAGCAAGGGGTCCAAAAGTCAATGATTTCTAACAAAGTCAAAAACTTTTACTTTATATATGCCTCTGTTTTTGAACCAAATGCATATAAACTTAAGTTTTATAGACTTTCTATGTCACTATCAGGGGACTTCATAAATTTTCACAGTAATGGGAGTCTAAGCTTTGGGATCTCAAAAAACCCCTGCTAGAAAAGATAAAAAGGAAAAAAGGGAAGGAGAAAGAGAAAAGAGAAAAGGAGGGAAAGAGGAAGGGACAATATCATTTTGAAAGTTATTCTACATCAAATACCCTTTTAGGATCAGCAAACAGATTCTCACTGGAGTTCACAACTTCAGTGGAAAACAAATGCAGCAGCGACTTTGGCAGAAGCACAACTGTGTGCTAATTTGACACTGCTTGCTAAAAGGGCTGCCAGTGGAGCAATATCCACATAAATGAATCCACCTGGGCAGGATAGTGATGGTCCCTCACAGTCCCTGGTTGCCACTTCCCAGGAGAGGGCGTTGGTAGATATGACTTTGTACATAAACTGAAACCAGGTGCTTCCATCCCATCCCAGCAGGACAGCGCCAACTAGTTACAAAATGAACTCCAGGAGGAAATGGGGACTGACCTCTGGGAAATTATTATAGTTTTCCTTAAGGAAAACTATACTACCTATACTATACTACCTATACTATACTACCTATACTACCAGTCTCATACAACTTATACTACCATAATAAGGCCAGGCAGGAAAAGAAACTGGCAGTAACACAGCCAACAGCTGCTGTGCCACCACCATCCCTTTCTTTAGTTCTATCTCTCATCAACTTCTAAGTTTTGTTGAGCTACTCACCACCTGTTCCACAAAGTCCCAGTTGACTAAGGTATCAGGATCAGCGAAATGAGCTGTGTAGTCTTGGTCTTCAGACACCACAAATTGGCAGCTATAAATAAGGAGGAAAGAGGAAGAGAGCAACATTACCCATACCCTCAGCAAAATTAATTTCTTCACTCATAATTCAAAAACAGGCCATAACAGCCATGATTCATAAAGTACTATACAAGAATTTCAGCCTAAATTCTGAGCTTGGCTCTGGATAGATTCCAGACTCAGCAGGTAGCAGTCCAAACCCATGAACTATTTTTTCTGCTTCCAAGCCTAGCCAAGTTCCCCACTGGTCTCCATTGAACTAAAATTAACCCAGACTATAGTTCCCTCAATCAACAGTAAACAGATTTCCACCTGCCACCCTTAGAGCCCCAGAACATGGCTAGTCTTCAAGGCAGTAAAAAACTGTTCTCAAAGAGTTGAGACCAGTTCATGTAAAGCAGATAATGCTTACTTCAGTCCAGATCCAAGGTCAAATCATACAACTTATACTACACAAAAGAAAACAAAAGAGGAGCCAACCGCAGTGGGGTACACCTGTAGTCTCAGCTACACTGGGAAGCTAAGGCAAGTGATCACAAAATCAAACCTAACCTCAGCAGCTTAAAAAAAAAAAAAAAGACTGAGGATGGAGTTCAACACTCTCCTGTAGTAGTTTAAAGAAGGCCTCATTGGGGGCTGGGAATTTAGCTCAGCGGCACAGCGCCTGCCTGGCAAGCGCGAGGTCGTGAGTTCAATTCCTGGTACCGGAAAAAAAACAAACAAAAAAAAAGAAAGCCTCATAGCACCTCACCTACCCAGAGAGACTAAATTTCACTTCCCCCACAGTAGCAGAAAGACTCACTTGGCCTGTAGAAAGAGTTCCTTGTTAAAAGGTTTATGTCCCCACTTGTTCCTTCTTCCCCAGCTGCCATGTCCACTGCCTTCAAAGTGACCTGCTTGGCCACGTGGTTCAAAAGTGAAATTCAACAAGTGGTTCAGGTTGATCTTCTTAGGGCCAGAGAATTGGGCAGGGCTAAACTCTGCCCGCTGAGCCTCTGCTACCTAGAGAGAATGACAGTATTTTAATTTAGGACAACATTTACCAATTTACAGCAAAACCAGCACAAAACCCCCTCTGAAATGACTCAAATGTTAACTAAATGAAACATAGGCTTAAGGTAAACAATCTTCCTAGAACAGGGTAATATGAAAGCAAACCCAATACCTGATGGGAGTGAAGAAGGGAAAACAGCTTCTGTCATCCCATTAAGGTCTGTTCTGCTAAATGACAAATAACTATTAAATGATAAAGCCCAGCAGAAACTCCCTTAGCTATCGTAAAGCACAAAAGATGTATAGACTGGAGGATTAATCTTTCTATACTCCCATTGGGACCCTGGTACATTTTCACCCTTTTTATTTAGTTCTTCCCCCAGAGCCAGACATCAAAGCAGGGGCCCTGTGCATCCCAGGTAAGCACTGGGCCTGTGAGCGGAACACCCTAGCCCCACATCTTCATTTTTTGATAGCTACTTGTTTTCTGACTTCTTTCTAACAAACCGAGTCTGAAGTGGCCTACAGGCAGGTGCGAATTCCCATACGTTTATGGATACTGCCAGAGACCTCGCATCTCAGACACACAGTTAAGCAAAACTGATAATTAGAACATGCAGGGGGCTGGGGATTTAGCTCAGTGGCACAGAGCCTGTCTGGCAAGCATGAGGTCGTGAGTTTGATTTCCAGTACTGGAAAAAATTTTTAAAAATAAAAAAAAAAAAGAACATGCAGGCAGACTAGTCTGTGTCCAGAAATAAACCAGCAATCAGCAATGTAGAAAAAGTTTAGAAAGTACCAAGAAACTGTTTATGAGAAACAGCACCGCATACAAAGATAGAACAAATGTCACAGTGTATTTCAATTTTCAGCAAGAGTCAGCTAGATCACTTCTCAGTCTCAGTTTCCCATTCAAGTTTATAAACACTCCACAGCACCACTAAATGCTGGTACACCGTCACTTTAAATGACTATATACAGGGCCTGGGGATTTAGCTCAGTGGCAAAAGCGCCTGCCTGGCAAGCGCAAGGTTGTGAGTTTGGTTCCTCGTACCGGAGAAAAGCCAAAAAAAAAAATAAAATAAAATAAATGACTATATACATAGCATAACATGGGAACACCACGTTTTAATGCTGTTATGTGGTAAGAATTGTTTGTAGCTTTTCCACTGTCAAAGATAATGCCACTCCTTTCCCTCTGCTTCCTACTGTCATTCACAACATGAGCTGTTTCTCCTCTGCCATACTGCACTGCCTTGGAGCCAGCTAACTACGGACTGAAACCTTTACAAACTAAGCCAAAATAAACTCCTAAAGAACCAAAACAAAATAAAAATAATGTTCTGAAGTCAGGCATGGTGGTGTGCAGTAATCCCAGCACTCAGGAAGCTGAGGCAGGACTGCCATGAGTTTGAAGCCAGCCTGGGCTACATAGTAAGTTCAAGGCCAGCCTGAACTACACAGCAAAACCCTGTCTCAAAACAACAAAAAAGATAAGGCTCTGATAAACATTTTTGGATAGATCCTTATATACAAATATTTGGGCATATGTCTTTTTTTTTTTTTGAGACAGGGTCTCGCTTATGCAGGTCAGGCTGACCTTGAACATAGCCTGGGCTGGCCTTGAACTTGTTTCAGTCCTCTTACCTCAGTCACCCAAGCGCTGGGAGGTATGCGCCACCACATCTGGCTGTAATTCTCTTTCCTTTTCTTCCTTCCTCTCCTCCCTTCTTACCCCTGCTCCTTTTCTGTGGTGCTGAGGATCAAATCCAGGGCTTCACACAGGTTATACATGTGCTCTTCCATGACCTACACCCCCATCATCTAGTTTATGAGTGCTTTTGTTTGCCAACAATTTGGTTCACAAACGGAACTGTTTGGCAAAATTTTGATTTCTTTGCAAACTCTGCATTGGGCAACTAACATGACTGCGGCCATCTTCCCCACATGAATTTGAATGTAGCCATCTTTTCTAGAATCATGGAATAAAGTTTGTGAACTGGTGTATCACTGTATTTATTTTGAAAGTATAGAAGGAATTACTAGGCCAGAGGAAATGCAAATATAAGAGGCTTTGGCTGCTTGGTCAAATCTGGAGATTTTCTGGAAGCACCACTTGCAAATATTGTTAAAAAAATCTAAGGAGGAGGTTGGGGATTTAGCTCAGTGGCACAGCGCCTGCCTGGCAAGCGCAAAGTCATGAGTTCGATTCCTGGTACAGGAAAAACAAAACAAAACAAAACAAATCTAAGGCATGCTGGGTGTGGTGGTGCATGCCTATAATCCCTGAACTGAGAGGCTGAGGCAGGAGGATTTCCCTGAGTTCATAGTTCATGGGCTATAGAGTTTAAGACCAGCCTCTGTCGCAAAAAGAAGAAAAGAAAAAAAATAGTACAATAAAAAAAGACTCTACAGAGGACAAAAGGAGATACAATGTGTGTGTTGGGCCCAGTGACATACACCTGTACTCACAGCTGCCTGAAGGGCTGAGGCAGAATTGCCAAGCTCAAGACCAGCCAGGTCATCAGGCGTGGTGACACACACCTGTAATCCCAGCACTTGGGAGGCTGAGGCAGAAGGCTCGTTGAGAGTTCGAGATTAGCCTGTGTTACAAAGTGAGCTCAAGGTCTGCCGGAACTACAAAGCAAGTCCCTGTCTCAAAAAGACAAAAAAAAAAAAAAGACCAGCCAGGTCAACTCAATATGAACTTGACTTAAAATTAAAAAATAAAGGGAGAGAGGTACAGTTCAGGGATTCATGGGTTCAATTCCCAGTATGGCAGAAAAAAAAAAGGTAGGTGCCTTCTATTGAGGCAATAAATATGTTAAGATATTCTTTGTACATAGAATCATGGTACATGACCTTTCAAAATAAATACAACCCATGGCATAACATAGTTGAATAACTGCCTTTTTTTAATCTTAAAGACAGGAGTTCAAGCGTGCTCCACATCACTTATGTAAGTCACCACAGGAAGCCCAAGACTTCCAGGTCTTCTCTCTTCTCTCATACCCCAGAGACCCGTGGTATGTGTGCCGCACACACTGTTTGTGTGAGTGAAAGCTTATATGGCTCTCCTCTCCTCTAATCGGCCTTCTCTCCCCTATATCTCAAACTGAGATCTAAGATCTAAGATCTGTGCTCAGTCAATAAAACTCCCCACACTTTTTAAGCTTTTGCTTTCTCTTGTTGTCCTAACTGGTCATTGTCACTCTATGTAATGCCACCTATTATAATTCCTGGTTCTCTTTCCAAAGACCCTTCACTTACTTGATTCTCCTTTTTCTTGAAGAGAAGGGAAGTACCAGGGGTTAAACCCTTTGAGCTACATCTCCAGATCATTTTTATTTGGAGATAGGATCTCACTAAATTATCCAGGCTGGGCTCAAATTGCAATCCTCCTGCCTCAATCTCCCAGGTAGCTGGAATTCCAGGTGTGTGCTATCATATCCAGCTATCATCTTCATTTTGAACAACAAATTTGGAGTTTAGTAAGCCGTACTTAATATCCAACCAGAAATTCATTCTATTTTCAGGGAAGTCTGTATTTCAACAATTCTTTATCTACACCTAGTCTCCAAACTAGTGACCCAATCCTCCCTCTCAAATTTACTTTGATTCTGTGGTCCACTACTCCGTCTTTTATCTGCTATATTCACCTAGTGAAACCTTCCCCTCCATAGCAGCCTCAGGGCAGTGAAAGACAGCTAAGTGACACAACTACACAGCCTGTATCACTAATGTAGCACCTCAGGCTGCCTAGGAGCCACAGTGAACCCTACCACACTTCCACAGTCCATGCATTCCCTTCTCTCCCAGACACCCCCTCCATTTATCAGGCTCCCAAGTGGCCCCCTCTCAGTTTACCTTATACATTTCAAAGGAAAAAATAAGCACAACCAGCAAAGAACTCCCAACACCCTGTCACCAAGCTTTCCCCTTGTTACTTTGGATAAAATGAACTGGCAAGGCCAACTCCTTCACTTCTGTACTAGACTGCACCATCCATCATTTTCCCTCTCCCCTGTATCACCTTCCCCATCACCAGAACCACATCACTAGCAGAGCCATGCGTAACCTTCCTAATCACCACAATCCCTCTTGACTGCACAGTGCTCTCAAGCTGCTAGTGCACCTCTCTAACCCCTTCAGAACAAAGTCACTGAGAAAGTATGGTCTATATTTGCTGTTTCTTTTTCCCTTCCTCCTATTCTCTCTTAAATCTATGCCCATCAGTTTTTTTGTCATCACTCCAACAAAGCAACTCAACACCAATATCATACCTTCACATTCTCAAATCCAAAGGTTAACTTTTGGTCCTATTCTTTTTTTGGATTTTTGAGACAGGGTAGTTCAGACTGGCCTTGCACTCACTGTGGATGGAGCCAAGGTTGGCCCTGAACTCTTTGGATCCTCCTGTCTCAGCCTCTCAAGTGCTGGACTATAGGTGTGTGCCACCACACCCAGCCTTTGATCCTATTCTTAACCTATTAATATCACTTAACAAAAGTGATGAGTTTTTCCATCTGGGTTTTAGTTCTCTTTCCTCCCTCAACAACCATTTCCTGCTCCATCTCCTGCTGGCTCCTTATTAGCCTGATTCGGTATACAGCTCTTCAACCTAGACCGCTTTGCAACACACTCCTTAATGATCTCATTTAGTTCCATAGTTTTAAACACCAACTATATAAAAGAAAAAAAAACAAAAAACACCAATTGTATGCTAACAGCTCTGTTTCAAAGCTTCCATCACTCTCATCAAAAGTATCTTTAGACGGGTGTGGTGGTACACACCTGTAATCCCAGCACTTTGGAGGCTGAGGCAGGAGGATTGTTTTGAGTTCGACCAGCCTGGGCTACAAAGTGAGCTCAAGGCCAGCCTGAACTGCATAGTGAGACCCTGTCTCAAAAAAAAAAAAAAAAAAAAAGAGTCTCTTTATTGGGTTAAAAGTGCTGCTTAGTGGTTTGCGAAGGATGCTCTACATTTTGGATTCAATCCCTATCATCGCAAAAAAAAAAAAAAGGTATTTTTATGGTTTCCTAATTAGATTTCCTGCTTCCAGGTTGTCCTTTAAGATTGGATATTAGATTATCTTACTTTTCTTTTTTAATCCCATCTCTCTGAACAAAGGCCAAGTTCCATGAAAGGCTCCATATGATCCTAAATTTTAAATTTTATTTTGAAACAGACTCTTATCAGATTACTAGATTGCCCAGGTTGGGCTTGAACTTGTGATCCTGCAGCCTCAGCCTCCCAGAAGGCTGGGGTTACAGGTATGTGCAACCATACCTGCTATCTCCAGCTCTTAGTATAGCAACTGCAGTGCCAGCTAGTGGCAATACTTGCAGGGCTGGTGCAAGGTTCTTCAGAAGGCTGTACATTATGTTTTAAATCAGCATCCACTATATGGTACTGTTTCTCCCACAGCCAGGATCCACAGGGTCCAGGAATCAAAGGGTGAAAGTGAGAATGGTACTAGCAAAGTTTCTGCTTTCTGTTCCTGCAACCTTATGTTCTACTGACCTAAAAGTTCTAGAATAAGGAAAAGTAATACCAGGAAACATAATAATGATTCTATTTAACTAAAAGCTTAAGACTTCCCCCCAATCATTTTGGGCTTCTCATGACTGAGTAAAATAGCTAAAAAGGGACTTATAGTGTTGGTAGGGGTGACTGGTCCAGACTACTAAGGGAAAATTGGACTATTACCCCACAATGGAGGAAAGAAAGACTATATTTGGAGTGCAAGAGATCCCTTAGGGTGCCTCTTAATACTGCCCTATTATTAAGGTCATGGGAACCTACATAACCCAACCCAGGAAGGATGTCAAAAAGCACAGAACTTTCAGGAATGAAGGTACAGGTCACCCCATCAGGTAAAGAAGCACGACCTGCTGAAGTGCTTGCCAGTTTTTGGCTTCATCTCCTAGTTCTCCTCCAATGACACTAGCCTACTAGCTTTTTTCTATGCCTTCTGGCAAACGTTCTCCCTCAAACCCTACAGTATACTCCCTTGCTTCATGAATATCTCAAATCCACACATAAGCATCCCCTAGCCACCTTCTAAAACTGCACTTCTGCCTGCCCAAGGTCGCACATACCTGTAATCCCAACACTTGCGAGACTGAGGCAAGAGGATTGCTGCAAGTTCGAGGCCACCCTGGGCTACAAAGTGAGCTCAAGGACAGCTTGCATACATAGCAAGACCCTGTCTCAAAAAACAATAACAAAACAAAAATTGCTATTGATAATCTCCTACCTCTTTTGTCTGTAACTCACTATTATTTGTCTGTTTTCCTGAGAAACTATCTTGTAGATAACAATATGTAAAACAATAACCACTGATAATTTCCTACCACTTGGTCTATAATTTGGTAAGCCCCCTCTATTATTATGTTATCCTTCTTTCCCTCTTTAAAATAAAAACAAAACAAAACAAAAATTGCACTTCTGGGTCTAACTCAGTGATAGATCATTGGTGTAGCATGCTGGAGGCCCCAGATTCAATCCCCAGCATGACAAAAACAAAAACAAGGCAAATTTAAAACTCTACTCCTTATTCTTTATCCCTTTTCCTCCCTCCATCTACATTTTTAAATCTTTTAAGCCAATAAGCACTTACCATCAAATTTATTACATAGTGGTTTATTGTCTCTCCAAACTAGAATAGAAGCTCCTGAAGGACAAAGACAATGTTCTATTTAATGCTATATTCCACACTGCTATTGGTATTTGGTGAGTAAATTTTTACATGATCATATCCATTTAATCTTATTCTATAATGGTTATAAAACTCTGGATCATTAAAAAAAGCAGGAAAGAGGGGCATGGTGACGCACACCTATAATCCCAGCACTCAGGAGACTGAGGCAAGAGGATCGCTGCCAAGTTCAAGACCAGCCTGGGCTACAGAGTGAGCTCAAGGCCAGCCTGAACCGCACAGTGAGACCCTGTCTGAAAAAGGCCAAAAAAAAAAAAAAAAAAGGCAGGATGATTTCACCAGTCTCTTGGTGGTAGGCATGTAAGTTGTCTCCTAAATTTTCTAACTACAAACAATATAGCAGTAAACACACTTGTACATAAAACGTCTTTATGTACTTCCAGAAACATGTATCTAACAAACTCCTAAAAGTAGGGTATCTGAGACTAAGGATATAAGCTTTTTACATTTTGCTAGACACTATAAGGCAAATGCCACAAACTAACATCATTTTGACTTTAATATTCCAAATGGTACCTAAAAGTTCTGTACAAATTAAGGTACCCAAATTCGCTATAATTTTTCACAACCAGCAACAAGGGTACCTTTTTCCTTCAAGCAGAGGAAAAAGGAGGCAAAGTTCTAGACCTAGTTAATCCTCTACTACTCAAGATTGCTTTGATGACCTATTCTTTTTCTTTTTTTTTTTCTTTTTGGTCTTTTTGAGACAGGGTCTCACTATGCAGTTCAGGCTGGCCTTCAGCTCACTTTGTACCCCAGGCTGGTCTCAAACTTACAATGACCCTCCCGCCTCAGCCTCCCAAGTGCTGGGACTACAACCATGCGCCACCAAGCTCCACTTTTTTTTTGATGACCTATTCTTCTACTTGTCGTTTGCCCTCCCTCAGCTACTAATAAACTACTGAGGAGGAAAAAATTCAAATCTTGTGCTTATATTCTAAAAAGAACATTCTTTATTTCTTATGTATCTTTTGTAATCTTTCCTCTACTGGACTTGGAGTTTACTTACATGTGTACCTGTGTTACATTTAAAGACAAAAATAAAAGTATTTGTATATATTCAAAAACATACAATAATAAATACAAAGGACATTCTTAAATTCCATACCTCATCTCGTCTTCCACCATTGAAAGAAGAGCTAAAGGGTTTGCTGCTGCCACCACCCCTCTGAGGAGGCATCTTATTAAAAGTTTTGCTTTTCTGTGAATTGGAGCGACGGGACTGGTTGCTAAAATTTTCATTTTTGGGGTAGGAAGGTTCACGCTTGCGATTATAACGCTTCGATCCATTTGAGCTCTTTCCATCTAAAAACAAAAAACAAAAGAATTAGTTAAGATATCGCATGTATATATGCGTGTATGTATGCATGTGCATGTATAACATATACATATTTGACCCAATTTCTCTCCACCTACCAGCAAAACTGTGTTTAAATAAGGGAAAATGGGCCTTCTCACAGCCTCTGAGAAATACGAGTCTAAGCCACAATATTTTGTTTTAAACGGTACCTTAGAGGCTAGGTGTGGTGGTGCACATCTCTGTAATTCCAGCACTAAAGAGGCTGAGGCAGGAGGATTGCCAAGTTTCACACCAGCCTGGGATACATTGTGAGTGCAAGGCCACCCTGAATTACACAGCAGACCATCGTCTTTTTTCCCCCAATATATATTTAATAAACCGTTACTTGCCGATCATTCTTTCTGAACAAGATATGTAACACTGAACAAAATGGAAAAGGTCTCTTTCTTTATAAACTTCACCTTTCAAAAGAGGAAAAAAATTATAACAAAGGAAGATCATTTCAGAGATTAAGTGCTCTGAAGAAAATAAATAGGCTTATGATTGAGTATATTCATGCAGAGGGTATAAAGGCCAATAGAGAAATGAAAATCTCTAAAACTAGTAACAGGTAACCTCATCAACCTCAACTAGTAACTATTAACCTCATCAAACAGTGAGCACTCTATTCTGCCCACCATTAATATTCACACTGAATAGTACTATTTTTTTACTTTATGTTTTGTTTTTCTTTTTGGTACTAGGAATGGAACTCAGGACCTTGCGCTTGCTAGTCAGGCACTTATGCCACTGAGCTATATCCCCGGCCTAATTTTTTAAAGATTTAAAAATAAATAAATAATCAAAGCAGGTTAGTAGCAGACAATTACAATAGTTAATACACACTGTTTCTTTGTTGTTTTGTGTTTTTTTTTTTTCCGGTACCGGGAATCGAACTCAAGACCTTGCGTTTGCCAGGCAGGTGGTGCTGTGCCGCGAAGCTATATCCCCAGCCCCTAATACACACTGTTTCTAAATAAATAATGCCTTAGAGGCCTGAAGGGTACCTCCCTCAGGCAAAATACAACAGATCAAACCACACAGATCCTCAGTTCTTAAGAATGTCTTTTTTACAGAACATAAGCACTGCTCTCGCTACAGTTCATTCAGATAAACTAAAAGGAAAGGAAATAGCCATTCTATATTAGGAAAAAGTATTTCAGCTGAATCCAAGGCAGAAGACATTGTTCCTTTTAAATTACTATACCAGAGCCAGATTTTGTACTACAAGAGGTTGGCAGGCAGAAACTGTATAACTGTGTGTGTATATGTGTGTTATATATGTTCTACAGGCTAAGTTGAGAAGCTACTAAATTGACAGAAAAAAAGAAAGAGCTTCAGTGAACATTAGATCAGCATGAGTTACATCTTTTAAAAAAATACGTCTATAAAATTAAACAAAAGGCGGGGGCAGGTATATAGCGCAGTAGCACAGTGCCTGCCTGGCAAGTGCAAGGTCCTCAGTTCAGTACCAAAAAAATAAATAAATTTTTAAAAAAATGTCTTAAAAGGGTTGAACAGAGTGGAAGGAATGGGGAAAAAAGCAAAATATATTGTGTACTGAGAAAGAACAGATACATCATGTACTATACTCAATGTTATCACTATACATCTAAAACTATACCAATTAAAAAAAAGTCTTAGCTAGGCACAGTGAAACACACTTGTAATCTTCACACTGGATAAGAATGAGGTAGGAAGATCACAAGTCCCAGTCCCACCTGGGCTACTTGACAAGAACCTGTTTCAAAATAAAAAATAAAAAGGGCTGGAGATATAGCTCCATAGTATAGCAATCTTGCGTTGGGTCTCCAGCATTGCCAAGAAAGAAAAAACATTTTATTTTTTTTCCAATTACATACAGAATAATACATATTCAATTTTGAAAGTATGAAAGAATCAAGTCAGCCCTTTAATAGTGTTTAATTTCCTTTTTGTATACTCATCACATACCTTATACAAAATATACTGTCTTGCTGGATGTGGTGGCACATGCCTGTACTCCAGCACTCTGGGAAACTAAGACAGAAGGACCACAAGTTTGAGTCCAGCCTGGGCAATTTTGTAGGACCTCTGCCTCAAAAAAAAAACGAAAGAGTTGGGGATGTAACAGTGCAAAGTCCCTGAAAGCAAGCCCCAGTACTACCAAAAAAAAAAAAAACAAACTATATACTGTCTTTTGTTATATCCATAAGCATTTTCATGCATTCCCAAGTCTTCCAAAGCATAATTACTGATTGCACTATTGTCTATCATACATTATACCATAATATAACTAATACTCTACTGTTGCACATTTACTTTGTTTCATTTTCTGTGGGGTGTTTTGGGTTTTTTTCCGGGGGTAATACCAAGAATTGAACTCACGACCTCACACTTGCTGGGCAGGCGCTGTGCCACTGAGCTATAGCTCCAGCCCTAGCTGCACATTTAAATGCCTTCTAATTTTTTTCTTTTTTTTTTCTTATTTTTTTCTAATAATACCAAAAGCTTCTTTATACAGAGACCTAGAGTCTATCAAGTTATCAAACTAAATTAGCTCAGCAGGTATGATTATTCAAGCCTTTTTACACATCCTCAAGTTACTTTCTAGAACCATTATGCGTATTTTTAAAAAATTTTTTAGTTTTTGGGGAAAGGTCTCAATATGTAATCCACGCTGGCCTCAAACACAATCCTCCTGTCTCAGCCTCTCAGAACGCTACGATTATAGATGTGCACAACCATGCCAGATGTGACATTCTCTTTCTTATAATGCATTCTTTCCCCCTCCCTCTCTCTGTGCTCTTCCAATATAAATTTAGCCAGGTATGGCAGCACATACCTGTAATCCCAGCACTTTTTGAATGAGGAAGGTCGATTATAAATTTGAACACAGCCTGATCCATTTAGAGACCCTGTCTCAAAACTTTTTTTTTTGTACTGGGAATCGAACTCTGGACCTTGCACTTGCCAGGCAGGCATTGTGCCGCTGACCTATCTCCCCAGTCCTTGAAAACTTTAAAAAGGACTGGGGATGTAGCTCAGTGGAAAGGCCCTGGGGGCTGGGGATTTAGCTCAGCGGCACAGCGCCTGCCTGGCAAGCGCAAGGTCATGAGTTCGATTCCCGGTACTGGAAAAAAAAAAACAAACAAAAAAAAGAGAAAGGCCCTGGATTTAATCCTCAATACCAAAAAATGAAGAAAGAGAGATTTAGTTCACCACACTATTGCTATTACTGAGTTAAATTTTGTTCAACTGAAAGGTCAAAATTGTTTTGAATTTTAAATCTAAATTTCTCTGAGAACTAGAAACAAATGCTTTTTGAGTCTGTTGAC